CCAGGCCCCAGCCTGGGTCTCCCTGAGCACTGCAGGTCACGTACCAGGGCTGCTCAGTGCATCATCCTTTCTTCCCACCTTTGGCTGCGGTGTCACTGTTCAGTGGTCTATTGAGACATATAGGACGTAGAGAAATTTGTACAATCTTTGTTCTGTGGTTTTTTTGTTTTGCTTTGTTTTCAGACAGGGTCTTGCTATGTAATTCAGCCTGACCTTGGACTATTGTTAATTATTTTTTTAATGTCACTTTCTAAGTAACGTAAGATTTAAGGCACCGATTAACTCAAAATGTTCCACTTTTCTCCCCAGAAGTCTTCATTCAACAAGGAAGTCTTGAAGTTTTACAGTAAAATACCATCAAAACAAAGTTACATTTCTATAGGAATTTCCAGGATGGGCTGGGGGTTTAGCTCAGTGGCATAAGCGCCTGCCTTGCAAGCAGGCAGTCGTGAGTTCGATCCCCGGTACCGATAAAAAGGAAAAAGACAAAAAAATTAAAAATAAGTAAACTGATGATTCTTCCTTATAAGCCCTGAGAAGCAAAAGAGGGCATAGGACCTGGGGAGTTCCAGGATGTCCTGTGGGTCCCAGAAGTCAGAAGGGACCCTGAGAGCCATGTGGCAAGCAGGACCTGGCCTCAGAGCCCAGCTGTATGAGGCACCGTACCACTGAGGGACTCTGGGCTTCCACCAGGCAGAACTTGGCAGCCTGTTTCAAGCAGAGGCCTGGAGTTAGGTGGGTCTGGGTTTGCTCACAGGTGCTTCCTCACTAAGTGGCTTCCCCTTGTCCTCTGAACAGGCAAGCACAGGCACCAAGCTCTGAAAGCCCTGTCAGTCAGCCTGCCTGTGTTGGTTACTTTGCTTGAGACAAAATATCTGATGCCTGAAATTAAGGAAGGAAAGGTTAATTTTGCTCACAATTTGTGGAGGTTTCAGTCCATAATCAGCTGGCTCCAGGACAGGGTAATGTGGCTAAGGCAGAAGACACCAAAACAACAAGAGCAAAAGAGAGGGCAGAGGAAGCCTCTTTCCTCCCTTATACTGCATGCAGGCCACCTGACTAGGGCCAGTGTAGCCTTCCTGGTAGTCAATTGATGGGTGATCTTGCACAGGCTCAGGACATTTACAAAGTGAGGACCCTGGCCCCTGCTGGGTACTTAGTTAAGCTAAACTGGAATCAACTGGTTACAGCATCCTACCATGTGAACAGCCACCTTATTACATATCCCCTACACTATAGGATATAGACCAGCTGAGTTGTTTCTAAACTTCTCTAGTTGATACAATGTGCCAATGTACCTTTATTTCCCATCTTCCTTTGTCTTTTTTCCTTTTTTTTTTTTTTTTTTTTTGAAACAGGGTCTTGCCATGTGACCCAGTCTGGATTCCAACTCACAGCAATCATTTTGCCTCAGCCTCCCTAGTGCTGGAATTACACTTGTGGCCACGCCCAGATCAGCCAGTATTTCTGAGCAAAGCCTGTATTGCTGGAATGGTGACAACACAAGCGTGTTACACTCAAGTTGCAGTGTAGGGAGGGGCTCAGAATGGTTGATGCTGTCCTGCCCCTCCCACCTGAGGACATTTGGTGTCAGCCTACATTTCCCATGATCCTCCCCTTGCCTACAACGCGCATGACATAAGCAACCTCCGGCTTTAGCCTACATCTCCCATAATCCCCTCTTGTTGACATCATATCCGCTTACCTATGTGCCTACGTATAACTTCCTGCTAGTCTGATAGGCCTAGGCATATGAGAAGATCCAAGCTGGCCCATCCTGTAAGGCCATGTCCCCTTTAACTCTATATAAGCCATGTATACTTCCTGAATAAACGAGACTCGATTGGAATTTCATCCTGTCTCGTCTCTCTTTTCTGTTGCCCAGCCCTTCATCCCTGTCCCTTCTCCAGGTGAGGCCCACGGACCGATCCTTGGGGCAGATCATTGCAGGGTATGAGCTGGGTGGGTGGGGCACCCTGTAACCCCTGCACTCTGGAAGCTGAAGCAGAAAGATTGAAAGCTCCAGCCCAGATTGGGTAATTCAGTGACAGTGAGACCCTGTCTCAAAAAATAAGGGCTGTGGATACAGCGAGGTCCCCAGACTCATCCATCCCAAGAAGAGGGAACTGCACCTCTGGCCAGCTGCCGAAAGCACCGAGTTGGGCCAGCCTGAGTGACCAAGCAGAGTGCATCTGTCAGGGTGGTGGCAGTAAGGGAATCCGGGTAGCTTCTGTGTGCCCAGGCAGGAAGCGCATCACAGCACTCACAAGGAGCACTCAGTCCCTAGTAGATGTTCAGTCCAACAGAAAACAGCTGTATTAAATAGGAGTGCCTGGTATTGAGCTGTTTGCTCATCTTGTCCCCAGGATTCAAATGCCTGTGTGTCATGGAACTGTGAAGGAACACATGGGAATTAGCAAATCCAAAAATATGAGCTCCTACAGGGACATCTATCTATAGATAGCTGCTTGCTCCCAGCTGGTCACCAGAGCAAACTAGTAGGCTCTTATTAGGCCTGGTGGCTCACACCTGTAATCTGAACACCAGAGAGGATGACGCAGGAGCATCCCCATCACAATTTTGAGGCAAACTTGGCCTACAAAGTATGTTCAAGATCCTGTCCACACACACAAAAAAGAAGGGGCTGGGAATATAGCAGAGTGGTAGTGTCTGCCTGGCAAGCATGCAGTCCTGAGTGTCTGTGATTCCTGGTACAAAAAAAAAAGAAAAATCCTTGTATGGACAAATGAGATGGGGATGCCCATTAACTGGGCTCCCACACTATTTTTCCACTGGCATTTAATTACCTGAATGAGTATATTACATAATAAAACTGAATATTGAACATTAGTCCTTTTTCCAAATGGTAGAACAAGCTAATTATCTTTGTCAATTTTAGGTTTCTCTTTTCCCCACTTTGCTTCTCAGTGAAAACTAAGCAAGCATCACAGTGGTTCCCAGCACTCCTGGCAAAGCGATTCTGCTGCAGCCCAAATCAGTGTTCTGGGGCTGGGGATTTAGCTCAGTGGCATAAAGTGCCTGCATGGCAAGCACAAGGTTGTGAGTTTGATCCCCAGTACTGCCAAAAAAAAAAAAAAGTCCTGCTGGGAAGCAGGCTGCTGGGGAGAACTAAATGCACTCCCTGTAAAGGCAGGGGCTAAGCTGAGCTCTCTGGAGACTCACTTTCAGCTTCTAGTCCTGGCGACCCCCAGACCCGGGCTGTGATCTCCCACCTCTACACAGGAAGGGATCAGGATCGGCAGAGTCCATCCACAGTGCAACAGCTCCTGCACCCAGGGCCACGACCCAGAGCCAGCATAGCCAGGCTGCTAAGCTCCACCTGGCAGGCCACTGAACATCTCTCAGCACCCTCCTGAGCAGTCTGAGTAAGTCAGATTTAGGTTGCTGTGGGCATGGACCTGAGGGCGAACCACACTGTTAGGGACTAAGGTGGAGAGCTGTGAGAGCGTGGCGTATGCTCTGGTGGAAGTAGATCTTCTGTTTTTGTGAGACAGGGCCTCACTTGGTATAGTTTAGACTGCCTTTGAATTCAGTGATCCTCCTGTCTCAGCTTCCCAAATCCTGAGATTATGGGCACCATATCCAGCTCTAGCTGGATCTTGACCAGATGGGTTTGGATCTGAACTGACACATCTCATTCTGCTCCAAAGAACTGTGACAGCCTGAGTGGACACAGCACAGGGAACAGCATAGAAGAGCTCATGGTTACAGCACACATGTCTCAAGCTGGACAGCACTGCAAGCCCACAGACAGCCCATGGAGTTCCACAGCGCACCTGGCTAAGCCAGCTGGGGTGCTGTTGTTCCCTTCTCCTCCTCAAATATAAGGTGTTAACTGAAGTAGGATTCCTGCATGAATAGGAAGACATTAGACATTAATCAGGCTAATTGTAAAACCACACACTCTGGGGACCAGCTCATTCTTAGTGCTATACATTTCGTGGCTTTCACAGATACCAAGTGCCCTGAGCCATGTGAACCCTGCTTCCAGTCCTTCTGGGGAGAGACAGTCCTGCCCTTCCTTGCTTTTTCAAAACTGGGGGACATAGGTGCCAGAGGCTGATGAGCAAACCGAAGTCACCACTTGTGAAACAAGGGCAACACATGACCAAGAAGGGTGTCTGAGAACAGCAGGCAGCAGTACAAGGCTGACCACAACATGCTGGGAGAAGAGGCAGGAGGATCAACACGAACACAAAAGGCAGGGTGTCAATAACAAGTCTTGGCTTCAATCCCCAGGCAACCCCCAAAATCTGGGGAATGCAACTATAATTCACTAAGGGAAGCACCACAGCATCCTGGCTTGGTATTAAGGGACACTCAGCACATCTACCCTGACATCATCCCCACTTGGCTACCCTTCTAAGTAGGCCATGGCTCCACCTGCAGGTGCCAGTGTCACCAACCTGGTCCCTGTCAGTACAGACTTAGCAGGTGAAAGCCATTATTTCTGTGAGCAGGACCTTACACCAGACAGCCCACCACCCTGGCAGGTACCTCCATGGGCAAGGGACCTCGAATCTGAGCAGCAGCTGTCCCCAAATTGCTGTGCTTTATAGCACAGCTTCCCTCACTGTAGGGCTTAGCTGTAGGGAACTCCAGTTCAATGAGCCACACTCAATTCCACTCAGGTACAGAGATGGTGGCTTTACCATGCTGTTAAATGGTATAGTGGGACCACCCACCAGTAACCCCAGCTGGATACTTAAAAGCCCACAAGGGACACTATCACTCATCCCAGCCCCCAAGACAGCCTCTGGGCAGATTTGTTAACTCCTATTTACTATCCCGCTCCCATTCAGTGCTGTTGTCTGTGGGAGAGGCTGCCCTGCCCAGGACCCCAACAGGGCAGTACTCCACCCACCCTGCCACACCCAAGGAACTAAGACTTCTGGGGTTAGAAAAGGTAAAAAACCAAAGCATTCCATGCAAAGCTGCTTAGTAATGTCTCCTACATCACTGTAACCCACACAAGAGGAAACCATTATTTAGTTTTTATTCATAACCATAAACTTAACTCTGCAATCCAGCTATGTTTGGAAGGGAACAAGGAAGATATATGGAACCCAAAGAACTGCAGTGAGAGCAGAGATGACAGGGCGTTTTGAGCAGGTGGGGCGCAGGGTGCTCTCCTGAGCTAGAGGAATGGTCTGGTGGTCATGATTCACTCAAGCCTCGACATTAGAGCTGCCCGCAGTCAGTGATGGTGATCTTCTTGCTGGTCTTGCCGTTCCTGGACCCAAAACGCTCCATAGCCTCCACAGTGTTCATGCCCTCCTTCACCTTTCCGAACACCACGTGCTTGCCGTCCAACCTGAAAGCGCAGGCGTAAGCCCTGGCTGCACTCAGGGAAGAGGGCCCCCAACCCAGACCACCTTGGGTGGCTTGCCCATGCTCCCCATCAGGCACTGGCCAACCCCAGGTAGTACGACATCAACTTTCCGTGAGCCCATCTCACCAGTGATGTAAGGAAGTGCTTGCAGAACCTCAAGGCCTAAGTGCCTAGCAGCTCCCTGGGTCTTGCTTTCTGTCACCATCCCTCCACATGCTCCTTGCCCACAAGACCTCCAGGATGAGAACATCAGGAAATGCCAGGGGCTGTCCAAGCACCATGCTTACCATTCGGTCTTGGCAGTGCAGATGAAAAACTGGGAACCATTTGTGTTTGGCCCAGCATTTGCCATGGACAAAATGCCAGGACCTGTGTGCTTCAGGATGAAGTTTTCATCATCGAATTTCTCCCCATAGATGGACTTGCCGCCCGTACCATTGTGGCGTGTGAAGTCACCACCCTGCAAACAGGACAGAAAACTGTCAGTTTGGGCAACACCATCAGACAGCCTGCCAAGTCTACAAGGCTCAAACTCCCAATCTGCAGAAGGACAAGGAGAACTGAAATGATAGCAAGGTGCACCCTGAAATACTGACTTGATCCCTAAGGGACCAACCCAAAAGTCACAGTTCATTTCATACCTGGCACATAAATCCTGGAATAATTCTGTGAAAGCAGGAACCCTTATAACCAAATCCTTTCTCTCCAGTGCTCAGAGCACGAAAGTTTTCTGTTTAAAAAAAATTATATGAACATTAACTAAGCACACACAAAAACTCTTATTTGGAATGCATGTGTTAAACTTAGAAAATGGAACCAACCTGCAGTCTTTGGCACTTTGTCTGCATACAGCTGTAAGAGAAAAGAGACACTTCATACCATGGGAGTACTTTCCCTTCCTGCTCAGCACCTGTCTTTAGTGGTTTCTGAATTGTACATTCACTCTCTCACCACCGGAGAATGTTTCCTCAGTAATGACTCTGAATCCCAAATAAGAACTGCTACTGACAGCACTAAGGGCCTGAGAACTTGGGTGGAGAAACATGAGACCCAAGGCTGAGCCAAAAATTCAGCACCAGCAATGACTTGAATAGTGAGAGACTCCTAAAAAGTGACTCAGAACTTCTAATGCATCACACCTACTTGGGGACAGATCCACAGCTTCTCAAATGTCCTCACTTCCCCTAGCCCCATGTGCCAGCAGCAGCCTAAGGACAAAGTTAGCCATGGGTCACTGGCACGCAGGATGCCACTTGTCACCTCCAACCAACTTGCCAACACCTTTATGACCACCGAGTCACTCTGGCTTCCAGGCCCCTTGTCTATACCAGTGGGGCAAAAACTAAGCGCTTGCTGGCTTGCTGTGTAGGGTCCCCGATTTGCGGACACCACAGCAGGAGGGGGCCTCTCCCCTCCAGCATCAGCTGTGCCTCAACCTTCCTGACCCAGCTTCTATGGACTGTGTTGTGTAAACAGTCCCACGTGATCACACCGCTAGCAGCAAACCCGTACCTTTCTACAGGAATGCATTGATTTGTTCTTAAACTGCGAAGCCTGGAACCTGGAGCTTTCCCCACCTGCACCTCCCCCCAACCTGGCTCACCTGATGCCACCCCGCGGCCCCGCCAGCCATCCAAGGCCAAGTTTCCACTGCGGCCTTGTCACACCTATCAACTCCGAATGGGGACGATTAGATCTGCGTTTCCCCACACGTGCTGGTCCCTTCCGCGCGACCCTGTAAAGCCTGCAACGCCGTAACGACATCATACGATGTCACCGCTGGTGGCTTTTAGAGATATACTTTCAGAGACTAAACTCAGCAAGCCACCATTGATTTCACCACACCCTAAAGCCTGCTCGCGCTGGGGTAATGGAACAGAATCTAGTATTCTAACTTTGCAACAACAAAAAAAACCACGCCGCCAGGCTTAGATTCCGCAGTGACTTGGGGTCTGATCCATTCACATCGGGGACTCCGGCTGTGGCCTCAGGCACAGGGCAGGCCACGCCCGAGTACTGCGGGGACGGCGCACAGGCAGCGCAGGCGCCTCCCCGCAAGCCGCGTGGCCGTTTCTGCTGGGGAGCGTGCGTAATTGTTCCTAAATCCCTTTCCCCATCTTAACGCATCCGGAGAGGCGGTCGCGCTGCGGTGGACGCCTTCCTGCCCGGCCCGGGCCTCTGGCCCGGCTTCCGGCTCCCGCTTGCCGCATGGGAGCGCGGCTCGACCACGTGCACTCTACCAGGGCGCGGCCACGTGGGCCGCGGGTCGACGGCGGGGCCGCGGCCCCCTCCCCCAACCGGCGCCCCGCCCGCCTTTGTCCGCGCTCAGCCTCCGCTCGCGCGCCTCGCTGGCCTCCCAAAATGGCCCCTCGTCAGGAAATGGCGCCGCCGCCGCCCGCGCTAGCCCGCTCCGCGAGAGGGTCAGTCCGCGCCCAAACCCTCGAGGGGCCTCCAACCCGTCCCGTCCACGATCGACTCCCCAGACCCGAAGCTGCAGCGCCGTGGCCTGCCCAACCTCGAAAGAGACGCGGCCCAAGGGCTCGCCGTCAGCGGCAATGTCGAAGAACACGGTGGGGTTGACCATGGTTGACAGCAAACGACCACAGGGGGAGGATAGCGGCGTCTGCAAAGCGGCGCGGACCCGGACGCCCGCTTCTTTTATAACGATTCCAAGTTCCGCCTACAGCCCGGTCTCGCGCCTCAGTTTTGCCCAATCGCGAGCGTAACCTATTCCGAGTGACGGTGCAGTTGGCCTATGGACAGAGGTTGGCGCGGTGGGGGCGGAGCGGGTTGCGCGCGTGCGCTCTAGCGCGCGGAGACAGGTTCCCGCCCGCGGGCTCAGTCGCGGTGTCTGCGGCGCGGAGCGCGGGGTTGTGGGCGCAGGGCGGCGGCGAGGCCCGTGGAGGGAGGGTCCGCCCGAGCCGGGGAGACGGCAGGGTGCTCAGGTTGAGGCCAGAAAGCTGCCAGGGCTGGGACTCTGCCCCGCGTGATGTCCACTCGCCCCATTATACACAGGGGGCCACTGAGGCCGATGGAGGCCTCAAGGTCACGCTGCTGTCAAGGTCGAGCGGGCCCCGCACGCAACCCCGCGCGGCGCTGCGCAAGTGCGGAGGGCGTCGGCGGGCGGGGTCGAGACTTCGCATCTGCCCGTGTCTGGCAACCCGCGTGCCGTCCTGGGACGAGGCCGCGGTGAGGATTCCCCCATCCCCCAACACACACAGCAGTTATGAAATGGTTTCAAAATGCCCTACTTTCTCAAAATACCCTGCACACTTCACGATTTCTCCAGGAGGAAGCCACTAAGCAGGCGCCCAGCCGGGCCGCACCTGCGGGGACACCGCACGCGTGTGCCTACCCTCGCGGAGTTTCCTTTTTTATCCCTGCCCCACGCCCCGCACACCGCTCCCCGCGTGGGGGACGCTGCTGATCTCTAGGCAAAACCCTTTGGGCAAAGAGTCTCACGATGCTTGGATTAAAGTGCACCCCTGAGAAGGCTTGCTTAAGAGCCTCAGTGGGGACTTACACAGCCTGGGCCACCGGGCTGTGGCCATGCTCAGAATGCTGGTCCACGTCTCCAACTCTCATTTCTTCACCTGCCAAAGCAGAGGAGGGGAATGGGAAGGAGAATGAGAAGTCACACAGTAGATGAGTTCGCTGTCCAGCCTCCGCCACTCTCCTCCCTGCAGGAGCTGCGTAGGTTAGGAAGTTAAGAGTGTGGTTTGCCTGCTCTCAAACTCGCAGAGTTCTTCCTGCCTCCGCTTCCCCAGTGCTGGGATTATAGGTATGCACCATAGCACCCTGCCTTACACATTCGATCGTGTTCATGTTGGGTCCCTCCTGCACCCACTGTGCCCACCCTGCACCATTCATTTGGGACCACACGAATGGGTGACTCTCTGACAAGCTCTAGAGGGGTCTTGTGTGGCCCAGAGCCCACCCTGTTCAGTCTCCCGGGTTTCCTCACATCTGCCACATTGGATTCCTCATCTTTGCCACAGCCCTTGCTTATTTGAGTCTTGCTCCCTCCTGTCACCAGCGGAGCCACCTGTGGACCCCTCTGAGAAGCCAGAAGTATCGTTGTGCTCCCCAGTCTCTAACAGCACCTAGGCCATCGGAGGCCCCTGGTCCCTGTGCTTCAATGTTAGAACTCAAAAGTCCACTAAGCAGCCCAGGATGGTTGTGCATGCCTGTAACTGAAACACTCAGGAAGCTGAAACAGGAGGATTGCTGTGAGTTCAAGGCCAACCTGAACAAACAGCAAGACCCTTTCCTAACAAAACAAAACTCTGCTAAGTGTGTGGAAAACCAGGAGCCCCACAAGTGGATAGTGACAGGGAAACAAAACCCTGGTCCTGGGCTAGGCGCCCAGCTTAATGGCTGAGGCTTGCCTGGTATACTTTGAGCAATCCCAACAGCTCATCTATCCTGTGAAAATAAGGATGTGAAAGGGCTGTGGAGGAGAAACAATGATCAGAAGGCTTGTGTAGTAACCAAAATTCAAATAAGCATCACATCATCACACTATTATCCCTAACTGACCTTGACTCAGGAAACATTCAAAAGCCAGGTGTGGTGGTGCACATCTATAATCCCTGGAGGCTGAGGCAGGAGCATCCCCAGTGAGTTTGAGGCCAGCCTGAACTACCTAGCAAGATACTGTCTCAAAATATCAAAATAGGTGCCTGGCAAGCATGAGATCCTGAGTTTGATTCCCAGTCAAAAATAAATAAATAAATAAATAAATAAATAAATAAAAGAAAATAGGGCTGGGGATATAGCTTTAGTGACCCAAGAAGCTGCCTGGCAAGTGTGAGGTCCTGGGTTGGATGTCCAGTACAAAAAAATTCAAAGTAATAATATTTTTTAGTCAATTCAGAGTTATTTAAACATCATGTACAATAGAATTTTTAAAAACTTTCGCCATCCCAAAAGGAAAAATATATGCATTCCCTTTCCCCATAACAATGTTTCAAAAGAATGCCAGCGGGGCTGGGGATTTAGCTCAGCGGCATGAGCACCTGCCTTGCAAGCAGACAATCGTGAGTTCGATCCCCGGTACTGATAAAAAGGAAAAAGACAAAAAAAAAAAAAAAAAAAAAAAAAGAATGCCAGCACTCTGAGAGGCTGAAGCAGGAAAAATGGCCAAGTTCCAGCTCAGCCTGAGCAGTTTAGCCATTTAAATAGATTATAACTTAAATTTAGAAAGAAGACTGGGAACACAGCTCAGTGCCAAGGCTGTGTGTTCAATCCTCAGTACCACAAAAAACAATTTTAAAAAGTGTTAAAATTTAAAATATTTGAACATGTATTGAAAGATGTCAAAGCCCAGCATTGTAACACAGACCTGTAATCCAGCACTCAGGAGGCTGAGGCAGGAGGATCCCTGAGAATTTGAGGCCACTCTGGACTACCTAGGATGATCCTATCTCAAGAAGTTTTTTCTTTTTTTTAATTATTTTAAAGAGGGTAAAAAAAAAAAAAACATAAGACAGAACAAAGCAGATGAGAACAGAACAATGCAAGTGACACAGGATTTTAAAGCAAGACAACAGGAGATCAACAGTGGTTACCATAATGTCTCTTGTTCTCTTCGATTTTTTTCAAACTCACAACCTTGCACTTGCCAGGCAGTTGCTTATGCTGCTGAGCCAAATCATCAGCCCACAAAAAAAAGATTTCCTTTTTTTGTGCTGGGGATCAAACTCATGACCTCGTGCCTGCCAGGCAGGTGCTTATACTGTGGAGCTAAATCCCCAGCCCACAAAAAAAGATTTTCAAATTTGCTATATTTATAAAGAGACTCACATGATCTGTACGCTAAGTGTAAAGCTCAGGAGAGGAGAAGGCTTTTAAACTGTAGCTTTAATAAGTTAAAGCTTTTCAATTATGGCTTCAGTAGCTAACATGTAATAAAATCGTTTTTCTGAGGGGTTGGGGATTTAGCTCAGCAGCATAAGCACCTGCCTTGCAAGCAGGTGGTCGTGAGTTTGATCCCTGGTACTGATAAAAAGGAAAAAGACAAAAAAAAAAAAAGGGAAAAAAATAGTCTTTCTGTATAAAAACACCACATGGCAATGGCACCAATGACAGGACCTTGGAGTCCCTCCTGAATCTGACTTCCTGGGGGTTAGGGTTCCAACACCCCAACACACGGTGCATGCTAGTCTGCCCTGACTGGAAAGCTGTGCCAGTGATGGTACGTACACATTAGCCCCATGATTTGGGGAGACCGAAGCAGGAGGATTGCAATTTCAAGCCCAGCTTGGGGAACCTAGATGCTGTCTCTAAATAAATCCAAAGGGCCAAGGATGGAGCTCAGTGGCACAGTGCCTGCCTGGTAAGTGCGAGGGCCTGAGTTCGAGTCCTACTACCAAAATCAATCAATCAATCAATCAATCAATCAATCACAAGGGCTGGGGATGCAGCTCAGTGGAAGAGCACCCTGTACTGATCCTCAGTATTGCACACATCCACACACACACACACACACACACAAGCACATCCACACACACCCTGCTCCAAGATGAAGTTGGGCTCGCTCACAGCACTCACATTGCCCCCAGGGAGCTGCAGGAAGGAGGCAGGAGGGAGCCTTGGGCAACCTGGCTGAGTCTAGAGCCCTGAAAAGAGAGTGACCTGGTAACATTGCCACCAGCAAGGAGCTGCACAGAGCCCACCCTGCTGGGAAGCTGCACTGCTGCTCTGGGTCAGGGTTAGGTCAGGGTTGGGGTGGGATGGAGCTGTAGGCCTGGCTCTCTCCGTGCCTCTGGCCTAGGACCTGCTCTCTCCACCTTTTGCCTCCTGTTCCAGCTGGAAAAAGGGAATTTCTAACCAGGTATGGTGGTGACACATGCCTGTAATTCTAGCACTCAGGAGGGTGAGGCAAGAGGATCACCATGAGTTCTGGGCCAGTGTGGACTGCACAGGGACTGTTGTCTGAGAACAACAAAAAGAAGAAACAATAAAGTATAAAGGCTGGGGTGTAGCTCAGTAGCACATACATGAATCTGGGTTCTGTCCATGGTATCAGACACTGGTACAGTGCATGTGTCAGGTTCTGGCTTCACACTGCAGTACCAAAAAATGTATTTCCGTGATGGTGGCAGTAGCTGAATGTGGTGCCATACCGTCTAACTCCAGCACTCTGGGAGGCTGAAACAGGAGGATGGAGAATTCAAGCCCAACCTGAACAACCTAGTGACTTAGTAAGATCACCAGTGCTGAAATCAATCAATCAATCAATAGGGGCTGGGGGATTTACCTTAGCAACATAAGTGCCTCCCTGGCAAGTACAAGATCATGAGTTCAATCCCTGGTTGTAGGGAGCGGCATATCTCACTGCTGCCACCTTATCTCACCCTCCTGTAGGCCTCTGCAGCGTCCACCTACATTTTCCCATGGTCCTCATGTCTGCCTACATTACCCATAATCCTCTCCTGCTTATGTCATATATCCGGATGTGACGATGACCTATCAGATAACACTCCGTGTCCTCTTCCTGCCCCATTGGCCCACCTCCACCCTATATAAGTTGTAGCCATTTTAAGAATAAACGAGACTTGAATGGAATCCCGCCTTGTCTCCATCTCTCTTTTCTCTTGCCCAGCCCCCCATCCCCGTCCCCTCTCCAGGCAAGGACTACGGACCGATCCACGGGCCAGATCACCTGGTTACAAAAGAAAAAAAAAAATCAAGACAGCCTATGAAAAG